AGGGATCAGACCCTTCTCCTGTGACTCTCCAGTTCTTTCAGCACCAAAGGGGAATGCTTCCCTTCCAACTCTCCAGGCATTTTCACCTCCTTTTGCTCTCCCACTTGAAAATGTTATTTTGAGCTGCCTAACAAGATTCACTGTTGATTCTTTTTGGCCCTGGCCCTAAGGGGGTAAATAAACACCAGACAAATGAGCCTGCTGCAGAGAGAGCAGCATATAAATTGCCTCATTGATACCATCTGAGTGTCTCCTCATTCATTACAAGGGCTTCCCATTTCCTTCATGTGTTGTTCAAGAGTGTTACACTCCTCCCATCGCTGCTCCCTCCTCGGAGAGCTGAGGGTGCTTCTTGGCCATGCAATTAGTTTACCTTCCCACATTAAAAAAGCAGATAGCTCGGGGCTCTGACAGCTCTCCTCTGAAGTCCTCACCCCACAACCCGCTCTTCTTTTATGTCTGTAAAAAGGTGGTCAGGGGTTTTGGAAGCAGAAAACCTTCATTCTGGCCTGTGTCGTAGCTAATCCTCAAATTAATAGTGCGTTGTTTTTATGGTCCATTAGGGATGTCTGTGGTAGCGTCTAATTACTCCACACTCTGTGCCTCCAAAATGTAAAGCGTTGGAGTTTTTAAAGCCTCCCAGTGGGACTGAGCTGTTCTGTAATTGCGGCATGTTAAACATGCCTTTACTGGCGAGTGACTGAGTGGAAGCAAAGCTCCTGATTCTCCTCTCTTTTCCCCCTTTCAGAGGAAGAGTCTGAACCCGCTACCATGCTGGAGCCAGAGGTACAGGAAGGTCCAAAGCCTGAATCTCAAGGTGAGGAGGAGGCGCTCCATCTCTCTACTCCAGTGGGAGTCTTCGGAGAACCTCTGCCCAATAAAAGCAGCTTCTTTAGCAAGTCTGATGACAGCAGCTTAGAAGCTCGTGTTAAAACAAAACCGCCCTCTATGGCGGAGGAAGACGACCGGCTGCCTCGCACGCCTGGACGGGAGGTGATGATCCATTCAGAGACTGATACTCTTCTGCTTCCAGTCCACAAGGTGCCATCCTCCATGCTTCCCATACCATCGACTCCCGGTAAAGAAGAACCTTTAGTCCCTCCAGAAAAGTTCCCTGAACAATTAGCCGTGACCAAAATGTCCGTGGAAGAGGAGATTCCTAGGACTCCTGGGCGGGACATTTTGGCCAAGTCTTCACACCCCCTTGCGAAGTCACAGAGCATGGACACTGTTCCAGCCACGCCAGGAAGCGATGCTCCCCTTACAGGAAGCAGCTTGACCCTCAGTTCCCCTCAAGTCCCAGGGAGCCCCTTTTCCTACCCATCCCAATCTCCTGGCATTAACAGTGGCATTCCTCGGACTCCTGGGAGAGATTTCAATTTCACCCCTACTTTCCCAGAGGCTGGTGCTACCATTCCTTGCCTTCTGTCTGGCAAGAAACAGTCAGAGGATGAGCTAGATGAGAAACCCTTTAAAGAGCCTCTTGGTGCTTCCCTTACGATCAGCATGAACAGTGTTCCTTCCCCTATCCCCTTCGCCAGCCCCCCTCAAGCAGATTTCCACGTGGACATGGGTCTGCCACCTGATGAGCCAATACCTGTAGCAGCCCTGCCATGCATGCATGGAGATGGAAGAATGCCCATTGAGGAATGCAAGGCAGAAGTAAAATCTCTTTTGCTCTCACCAGAAGTACCCGCTGGTGCTTCTCTTCTTCCTCCCCCACCGCCACCTTCTGTTCTTCCCAAAAGGAGGCCCGGTCGGCCAAAACGGTCACCACCTTCTGTCCTCTCATTGGATGTATACTCGGGCAAAACCATGGAACCTCCTCCTGTGCCAGTGGCCTTGGTGGAAAGTGCTGTGGGCAAAGAGCTGTTGGGTGGACATCCCGATGCTTTCTATGGACTGAAAGACCCTGAAGCCGTCACCCTGGACTTCAGGAATGACGGTTTCCATGAGAAAATAGCAGCTGAGACTGTTGCAGAGAAACTGCCATTTAAGGAGCTGGAGAACCAGTGGAATGAAGACTTCAAGGAAGAAGAAGCTCATGTGAAACCGAAAAGACAGTGGCGAAGGCAGAAGAAGACACCTGAGGACCTCCCAGTGATTCCTTCCCCGGAGTATTCCCCACCCCGGCCTCAGTTCAGGCCACGCTCCGAGTTTGAGGAGATGACCATTTTGTATGACATTTGGAACGGCGGCATAGATGAGGAAGATATCAAATTCATGTGTATCACATACGAACGCTTGTTACAGCAGGACAATGGTATGGACTGGCTCAACGACACCCTCTGGGTATTCCATCCTTATATCCTTTCTCACTGGCGTGCTGTGTTTCACCACACGTGTAAGGTGCCCTCGCCGGTCGTTGTGTAGGACTCAGAATGCAAAAGGATGAGTGTGCTGGTGGAAGAAGCGTTTGCTTGCTCGAATAGCAGATGCTTACATCAGCAGGGAATTTGAGATCGTTTTATTCCCTGAAGCTGCAATACAAAAATACTGCAGAAGTGGCTGTTCTTGCTGCATTTTTGATCTAGGACTGCAGGGAAAATCTGCACCTCTTCTGGGGAGATTTCCTGGCTAGTTTGAGAAGCTTCTCTCTGCATTTCAACCAGACTCCTTCTTCAGCTTGACTGTGGAATTTCGAGTCTGCACATACAGGGCTTTAACTTGGGGCTAAAACTTGCTGTAAAAATAATCTCACCATCTGTGCCCAAAAAGATTGAGTTAGTGGTGCTAGCAGCTTTAATTTGCTTTGAGCCTGAAATACTAATAAAAGCAATGGTTTCTAAGCGGCACGTCAGGGAGAGACACGGCGCTGGGCCGGAGTGGGGGGAAACATACTGCTGGGTGCCGCAGCGGGGAGCATGGGTAGCACTGGCTGGTGCTGGTGGGACAGGGTCAGACCCCATCTCCTCCCTGCCTGCCCATAATCCCGTGATCAGCTGGAGCTTTGACTCTTTGGGAGCATTTTTGGGATGCCGAAGCTGTCTCAGAATGAGACTCCATGTGTACAGCCATCAGTGGTGATCTCCAGAACAGAGCCTGAAAGGCTGTGCTCATATAAGAACTCTCCAGTAATGTTTTTAGGAAGGATATATGAATTCATACGTCAGACTATACCAATGCACTACATCGTGTGTTGCTAGACATCGTGTAGAGTTAAACTATCCCTTACTCCCTGCAAGATGGGAAAGCAAAAAAGCCCAAACCAGTTAAAATAGTCAGTGATATGACACTAACGGAAAACAAGAGGAGCTCTGTGCTGAGCTGTGTGGTTTTAGTCCATCCTTTCTCTGCGTCTCAGAGGGCAATGTGTGGGATTAAATTTACAATTTTCTGCATTTTCACACCAGTGCAATAGTCTTGAAATAGAATTATTTAATTGCTTAAAGGAAGTGTTCTGGAAGGACGATGAATTGCATCATCCCCAGTAGCTCTCAGTCTGTGTTGGCCCCATTTGGGGAAGCTGTTCTGAAACCAAACCAGTTTCAAGGTGGGAGTAACGGGGGGACCACAGCCAGCGAAAGGCAGGGCAGGACGGCTGAGGGTAGGGCTTGCCTGCCGCCCTGCGCTTAAATGTGTTTGCATTTCGCAACTTAGGTAGTGGGAATATTTGAAATCTGTTGCCCTGTTGATAGGGTTTACTGTAACAGCAAATTTACAGTCACTTTTTAAACCACGTGAAACCAGTCTGCAGCCAGTTGTCGGGTTAATCTGTGCTACAGTCACGGTAGGTGCGAACATACCCGCGGGGCTCCCCCGCTTTGCAGCAAGCTTACACCTCAGTGCTCTGATTTTGAGGCGTCTTGCTTTTTATGGTCCCTCTGCTTCTGGAGATGTCACAACTCACAGGCAGTATTATTTGATAGATCTCTGTCGTCACAAGCTTCATGGCCGTGTTTTTGGGGTGAGCTGCCAGTAGTACAGTTCCACTGTCCTTCCAGAAGCCAGAGACCTGAAGGTGCCTTCTGCCTGCTCGATGCCGTGTGTCCTTGCCAGGCCAGCTGCAGGCTTTTCTTGACTGATCAGGACGGTGGGCTTTGAAACCTCTGGGCAGGGGCTTGCCCTTCCCCTCAGTGTCTGAAGAAGCTGATTTACTGAGGCAAGCAAGTTCCACATCTCCGAACCCTTTGGGCTGAGCAGCATCTCTTGCCCATCTCTGCTGCTTCCAGCCCTCGTCGGTGGGGATGGCTGCTGCCGGGAGATCAGTGCGGTGTCGTCAGGGCTTGGGGTGGCTGCAGAGTGTTCCTGGAGGTAGAACAAAAGCATGTCACTTGGAGAAAATCTTGGCACATCAGATGGCTGGGCAGCTGCTGTCTGCGTATGTACTGGGTGCTGTGGGGAGAGCCTTTCCCAAACAGGTTTCTCTTGACAGCTTAACCTTTTTATGTTCAAATGTTCGTTATCTCTTTACTTCAGTGTCCCAAAGCATGCAGCTAAGAAGGGAAGACCATGCTTGGATTTCCTGTGTGCATGTGAGCTTCAGTGATTTCCCTTGATTTTTCAGTAGTATTGGGGTTTTTTTTGCAACCCTCTTCAAACCTTCCTAATTTTCCAAGCTCCTGGCATTAGCTCTGTGTAGCTGTAGCTCGTTTTGATACCCACCAGTGGTTGTGTTTCTCCTTAACTTCTTTCCACCTACCAGCTTTTCTACCCCCAAGAAAAAGAAGCGGGATGATGGGATGCGGGAGCACGTGACAGGCTGTGCACGAAGTGAAGGCTATTACAAAATTGATAAGAAGGACAAACTTAAATACCTCAACAATAGCCGAGCTTTTGCGGAGGAGCCGCCGGCTGACACGCAGGTAAGGGCACCTCCTCTGCTGAATGCTGGGGTGTGAATGGGATTTGGGTTTCTACAGCGTCACATACAGTGCCTGCTTCCTGCCTTCTGGCAAGGAGGGGGGTGAAGCTGTTGGCTAGGACTCCGGGAGCTGCTAGGGAGGCGTTATTGTTTGATGTGGGATGTTTTAGGAAGCCACGTGTTCTGCAGTGATGTGTTACAGCGCAAGGGGTTGCTCACAGGGAGGCTGGGGAGCGTTGGGTCAGCTTTGATCACCCATTTGTCCTCTCAGGGTATGAGCATCCCTGCCCAACCTCACGCTTCCACCCGGGCTGGCTCGGAGAGGCGGTCAGAGCAACGCAGGCTCCTCTCCTCCTTCACTGGTAGCTGCGACAGTGACCTGCTCAAGTTCAACCAGCTCAAGGTAGGTCACCCCGCGGATTGCTGCTTCGCCGGGGGCTGGTTGGGAGCAGGCGGAGCAGGGGACCTCCTGACAGTTTGTTCCCATCTTGGTGATGGCCATCTTGGCATTGGGCACCGCGGTGTGTGCCAGAGGATTAAATGGTACCTGGCTCCCCTGTACTTACATGTAAGACAACCTATACACTAATCCCTGGAAGTGTCCAAGGCCAGGCTGGATGAGGCTTGGAGCAACCTGGTCTAGTGGACGGTGTCCCTGCCCGTGGCAGGGCTTGGGACTGGGTGAGTGTTAAGGTCCCTTTCAGCCCAAACCATTCTATGATTCTGTGAACTTAATATGACATGCAAGACAAAAAATGTACCTGAAGAAATAGGAACAGAGCAGTCACAGGAAAACATGACGCTTAGTGTGGTGTGCTCCCCTGTGAGGAGCAGAGACATGAGCTGCCTGAAAAAGGCTATAAATAAGTAAATTACGATTACAGAGCCTGAGCCCTAGTCAGAACCATCAGGGTTATGCAGAGCAGAGACCAGTGGCCTGAAAGGGTCTGTTGTCCTCAGTGTGTGGTCAGTGGTAAAATCCCAAGTACTGCCACTCCATGGAACCTCCTGTGACCTCTGTCCTGCATTCCTGTCACCGCTGGAGCGAATGAAACAAAATTGGGTTGAAGTACGCCAGTCCAGCTTGTGGCTTGGAGTGTGCTGCAGGTGCTGGACCTGGGCTGGCCTTTCCTATTCTGTGCTGTGCCTAATTCAGGGATGGGGTTTTGGGGTGTTTTCTTCATGCAGTTCCGGAAGAAAAAACTAAAATTCTGCAAGAGCCACATTCATGACTGGGGCCTTTTCGCTATGGAGCCCATTGCGGCTGATGAGATGGTGATTGAATACGTGGGTCAGAACATCAGGCAGGTAAGCTGCACCGTGGGCGACGTCTGAGCAAACACCAGCCCTGCGGGAAGTGCTCGAGTGTGACAGCTGGGGTCATCGTCCTGCCGCAAGGCGACGTGAGCTAGGCAGAGGTTGGCTGATGGTTCGCAAGTACAAGGGTGGGATTTTCAACAACCCATGGAAACTAAGCACTCAGATTCTTAGGAGGGAAGCTCTCAGGAAGCCCATCCTGGACGTGTGTGTTTTCAGTTAGGTCTGTGTTCTCTCGGGGTGTTTGGGCTCGTGTGTCTGTTGGGTGGCACAAGCGCAGCTTAGTGCTGTGTAGATCTCTGCTCGTGGGTCGCTTCTGCGGCGTGTCCTGACACAACGCCTGGGTTTTCTCTAGGTCATTGCTGACATGCGTGAAAAGCGATACGAGGATGAAGGCATCGGGAGCAGTTACATGTTCAGAGTCGATCATGACACCATCATCGATGCCACGAAATGCGGAAACTTCGCCAGGTTTATTAATCACAGCTGCAATGTAAGTGTCGTGGTTTTGCATATAATTGTACTCTGACGTACTGATAAACCCCGTGAGCCCTTGCTGACTTTGATTGGGGCTGTGTTCAGAAGTAGCAGGGGGTCACAGGGTTGTGATTAAATGTTAATGAGCTGCAGCAGATCAAAGCAGACTCTAAATTTGCGTAACAAGATTTGAGACACCCAAGAAATGAATCGTGCAGCGAGGCAGTGCACTCGGAATCCTCCCGACTGTGTTGGGAGACCCTGGTGGACACTGTTCAAACATACCTAACAAATATTTCCTTAAAACAGACCAAATTTCAGCATTTTTATTCCATGGGAACAGTCTCCTCCTAGTGTCCATGTGGGAAAAGTATCCTCTGCCCTGGCAGGTAGTGAGAAGCTGCTTTCCCGGCTGCTCTGTGCTGCGCTCTGCACTCAGGCTTGGCTGTCTGACCAAGTTATTAAGCATCATTGAGCTGGTCTTAACCTGTGACAAACTTGGTGGAGCATCATCCAGGCTCTTTTGCACCACCAGTGACCAGAACGTGGGTAGTTTGGAGGAGCACAAGGAGGGTTTCCTGGCTTCACGCCTCCCTCTCAGCTTCCCCTGGGTCCGGGCTCTGGAAGCATGGCCAAGGCCGTCTAGGGAAAGGCTGCCCGGCTCTGTTGTAGCTTGGAATAACTGTGGTGGATGCTGGGGAGCCTAAATCCTTGCCTGTTCTGTCACCCTTGCAGCCAAATTGTTATGCTAAAGTGATCACGGTGGAGTCTCAAAAGAAGATCGTCATCTACTCCAAACAGCACATCAATGTGAATGAGGAAATTACCTATGACTACAAGTTTCCAATCGAGGATGTAAAAATCCCATGTCTATGTGGCTCTGAGAACTGCAGGGGAACCCTGAACTGAACTCGAGGTTTCTTGTCACACTTGCACCTTCGGCCATGTCAAAACTGTGGTAACCAGGTGTGGTTGCACTTTGCCAAAAAAAGAGGGGGAAAAAAAAAGAAAAAAGGAAGAAAAAAATTTAAAAAGGAAAAAATATATTGGGGAAAAAAAGAAAAAAAGAGGGGAAAAAAGAGAAGAGGAAAACCAAGCAGGTTTCGCACTTCTGCCAGGATCAGGAGCGAGAGCGAAAAGCGCACATGCTGACGAGGACTGTTCATGTTTCAGGTGCTCTTCCCTTTTCAGATCCAACGCGCACACAGCAAGGTGACTACCGTTTTGTGGCATGGTCTATCCAAACACTAGCTTCTCTGTTCAGTCCCTACATTAATGCTCCGTAATGGGATAATGGTACCTTTTTTTTTTTTTTAAATTGTTGTTATAAACCTTCATCTTTTCATAAATGCTGCTACCTTTTTCTCATCAGTTTTGTTGGTTGAAAAAGACATTCAACGTTTAAATGTGAAGCAGAGACTGAAAATGCCATATAGGGTTTGTTGGGAGCTTGATTTGGCTGAAATTGCACAGATTTCTCAGAGTAAGCTGTAAATAAATGTAAGGTTGATGTTACAGAGCAAGCCAGAGGCTTGAGGGTGTGTGAATGGGTGTGTGCGTGGGTGCGTGTACGTACGGAGATGTGTCCGCAGCGAGACTGTAGGAGAACTGTCCTGCCTTTTCGTTAGGGATGAGCCTGAATGCGTCCTCGATGCCAGACGCCCCGGGGAACAGCCAGGTCAGCTGCAGACCTCAGCTTAGCGCCTTGGGCTCGTCTCTAGTTTTCATATGCCACGCTGGTATGTTGGGGGATCAAAACCTTTGCACCCATACATGAAAAAACATTGGGATACCGCAGTCCGCTAGTAAGGAGTCGAGTCAGTTGTGTAGCTGTAGCATCGTGGCACGGCATGTGGCCTTTGGGGATGCCCGTTTCTTGGAGATCGGTTTGCCTTGTGTGTGGAAAGGGCCGAGGCTGAAGTTAAGTGTTTGTGCTGTAGAGATCTTACCCGCCTTGTAAGCATACACTACGGCCCACGCTTGTATCGAGGTTTTCTTCGGGTAGATGGGAAACAAGCTGATAGTGTGTCTCGTATGGATTTTTCTCGCTCTTGTCTGCGTTTCCCTGCCCTTCCAACGTTTTACGTGGAGTGTTTGCTCTGTCCTTGGATGTGGGAGATGCCTCCTGTGATAGGAGCGAGCTGTGCCCTGCCGCTCTCCTCCCTCCGTTACTCAGTAACTTGCCCTCGGGTAGTCCCGTCCCTCCAGCAAAAGTGAACGTGGGTGAAGTGTCCCCGAGACCCGGCTGCGGGAGCAATCCTGTCCTCCCCCATCTACAGCATGAGAATGAATGCTGCTTTGAATTTGGGAGGCGTATTTTGAAAGGATATTTTGATAGATTTTGTCCTTGTAGGTATGCTGAGGTGAAGGTTGCTGTTCTTCGAGAGGTTCCAGTTAAAAACGGGGCAAAACACCAAAAAAATAGTTCTTTGGCTGTGGTCTGGAAATGTTACCCGACAGGTCAGGCACGGACAGGATCAGTTTTTCAACTTGCATTGAATTTCTCCTGCTTTAAAAGTGGAGATTCGCTGTACTAAAACCTTTTTAATTGGCTTCTAAGGGGAAGTTGCAATGTAATTATGGAATGGGAAGATGATCTGCATAACTCAGCGTCTTCTCCCCGCAGAACAAGTTGCACAGCCGTCTTCCTGTAGCCTTTTAAACTCACCGGTAACGGCGGTTTGGCCGCAGCTCCGCCACTGGAGGTTACAGCCTTGCAAAGGAGTGTTCTGGAAGTTGGTTTGTCGGCTCTGAACTCGGACTTGCCAGGCCTGCACCGTGAGCGGAGCTTGTAGCCTAGCTTAGACCCCTGCGCCTGCGTTTCTTCGGCAGACGGAAGGCCTGGCGGAATAGGGGCACACAGACTGCTACGAGCTGCCTTGGCAGCGCCTGTATTGCTCTCTGAGGGCGGGGAGGTTGTCCCCGAGACTGGACAGTCCGTAGGCTCATCTCTTGGCTTTGTTTTTGTTTTGTTGTCCCCCTCCTCTTCGTAAATCTCTCCAGCAATTGGGTAGTGGTGACCCAGAACCTAAAATTACGAGAAGCACAACTAGTTTCTGTCATTGAACGTCGTGTGTAATTGCAGCGATGGCAGGAGCGTTGGGGAGTTAAACCAGCTGCTCGGTTTATTTTAATTTTATTTTTTAGAATAAGGTTCATCTTCTTGCATTGACGCTCCAGTTGGCATCTCTACAGCTTGGCCTTTCCCTTCCAAAGCTCTGGAAATGCACAGAAGTTTCCCGTGTCTCAGAACTGAAGCCCCGCGTGCGGCGGTGTGCCGATGTCCTTGGCCGCCTTCCTCTCCAGTCCATCAAAGCAGCACACTAACGGTGGTTTTGGGGGGGCGAGGACACCCCAAATGGCCCGGCCCCTAATACCTGCTGACAGTCTTGTGTTTCCCAGCGTATCTGTGTGCTCTGGACAGGATGAGCCCCTGCAGTTTGCCTTAATCTTTGTTGAGGAGAGGCAGGGAGGCAGGTCTTGGTCTTCTGAAACGAAACCTACAGGTTGGGTTCCTGCACCATGGTTTTAGGAGCAACTGAAGGGATTTGGGTGCCAAAGACCGTCAGCACCTAAATCCCTTGGGTACTTAGAAACTGCCTGTAACCCCTCCCTTTTCACGATCCCAGGCAAATGCGGGGTTTTGGAAGAGCTGAGCTCCCGGTAACCTCCCAGGAGGAAACGGAGATATTGGACCCGCAGCACTTCCGAAAAATCACGTCAGCCTGGTCTCAAAGGCAAACCTGAGGCTTCTCCTTCCTTCCCCATAAATCTTGGCTTGCGCAGCCCTTGTGTCCGGCTGCGGAGCTGCCCGGAACAGCGCTTTACGGTGAGGAGGATGTCCGCGTTAGGGTTTTCCCTCAGCTGCCGCAGTT